TTGCTCGAGCGTGAATTACCCCCTCGAGAGCGAAAAACTGAAAAACAGGCAAAGTACTGGATACATTATTTTTATTTACTTGTTATAGGGACTTGAAAATAGAATAAGATGAGATTTTTATTATTGAGCATTTAGGTTGCAATGAAAACATGAGGAGACATTGGCAAATATGGCTAGGAATACACGCCAGGGTCAAACGAATCGACGAACTGGTAATGAGCAATCGACGAGGGAATGTGACTAATAATGGTAGTGGTTCACAAGCAGTCGAGGAGAATCAGGAGCAAGAGTTGGGACACCAAGAACAAGCTGCAATCCCCAATAAAATTGAAATGGTTCAAGTGCTTCAAACGTTGGCCGGGGTGGTGCAACAACAAACCACCATAGGAATAACTTGACTAAACTTATGGAGCAACAACAGCGGATGCAGCCAGGTGTGGGCCATGATAGAGATAGCAGATTTGTATCTATGTTTGGAAGAGTTTGCATACAGCTTTGGCACTAGTTTGAATTTTAGCACTGCCTTTCTCCTCAAACTGATGGACAGTCAGAGAGAACTATTCAAACCTTGGAAGACATGTTGAGGGCTTGTGTTATCGATCTTGGAGGTTCTTGATGAGCATTTGGCCTTAGTGGAATTCTCTTATAATAACAGTTATCATGCGAGCATTCAGATGGCACCATAGAGGCTTTATATGGACGAAAGTGTAGATCACCTATTTGTTGGGATGATGTGGGTGAAAGGAAGTTGTTAGGGCCTGAGATTGTGCAACAAACAGTGGACAAGATTAATCTTATTAGAGAGCGACTTCGCACGGCACAAAGTAGACAGAAAAGTTATGTAGATAACAGGAGACGTGATTTGGTGTTTGGGGTTGGAGACCATGTATCCTTAAGGTGTCTCCTATGAAAGGAGTAATGAGGTTTGGTGTTCGTGGTAAATTGAGTCCTAGATTTGTTGGCCATTTGAGGTTTTAGATCGAATTGGTGAGGTAGCTTACAGACTTGCCCTACCACCTTCACTAGTTGGAGTTCATAATGTTTTTCATGTCTCAATGTTAAGGAAGTATATACCGGATCCTAGTCATGTGATTGATCATGCACGTTGCAGTTTAAGGAGGATTTGACATATGAGACACCCTATACCGAATTGCTGATAGGAAGGAACAGGTTTTGAGGCGTCGCGTCATTCACTATGTTAAGGTTCAATGGAGTAATCACTCGGAAAGAGAAGCTACTTGGGACTTGAGGATGAAATGAGACAAAAGTATCCACAACTTTTTGAGACTCCAGGTATGTCAAATTTCGAGACAAAATTTCTTTAAGTGGGGAAGAATGTAAAATCCAAAATTTTATGTGTAGAATTATTTTTGGATAAAGTAGTAATTAAATTAATTTATATGGGTCATTTTAGTAACATCAAAGAATATTTATGAGGTGGTTTTTTTTTTAATTTTTATTACTTAGATGGTTAAGTTTGTAATTTTGGGAGATTGGGTTATAGGCCCACTTGGGCTTTAGGTCTTGGAAACATAGATCACAAACAAATAGAGGTATTGACAATTTAGTGGCTGCTGCGGCAGATTCAGTAGTAAAGAGAAAAAAAAAAAAAAAAAAAAAAGAGAGAGAAGAAGAAGAAGAAAAGAAAAGAAAGAAGATTCATAGATTGGTGACTTTGATCTAATCATCTCTTGGAGGTAAGATTTGTTTTTATGGTACTCCTAACTATTTCTTTAGACGTAGTATCTTGTATGTTGATTGGGTGTATGTATTTTGGGGTTTTGAAATTTACTTATAGACTATAGGATTAGATTATTACATTATAAAGAAAAGAATGATAGATGCATCATGGTGATCAATAGTAATTGTTTATGTGGTATAATATTTTATTAGGTTTGTGAGATTGAGGTGGATCTTGGTAATTTGAGATTAGCTTGGGAAATATTATTTTTAGCTGTTTGAGGTAAGTAACCCTCTATCACTGTTGGTTTATTTTTAATCCTATCAAATCGTTTAAAATCATAAATATTTATTCGTAACTTTCCTGTTCTCTTAAAATAAAATATGGGTCAAGTTAATAAAACACATCGAATATTATTATGAAAATTATTTGAATATTCGGTGAAACTATTCTGAAAATTATACTAAACGTTTATTCTGAAAATATCGAATTTTTATTAAAAATTTGTGTATGGTGTGAATTTTGAACATCACTCTAGTCTGACTATGATTGGACCCTAGCCAATGGGGGTTATTTATTGGCACAGAAACTAGTTTCTTTTGGGCTTTACCACCGGCCTATGTGTGTTCTGGGCCTTGTCACGGGCTTGTTGCCCGCAAGAGAAACAAGCCCCAGTATTCCAACGACACTCACTATCCCGATGGAATCCATTACACCTAGTGCATTGTACCCGATCATTCTTCTTATCAACACTACTACCCATAGTTCGACTTCCCCAACTCCCAACCGAAGAAGTGTTTTGTCTCTTAGCATTGCCCTTCGAATTGTTAGTTTGGAAGTTGGAAGAACTAGGCCTCTTCTTATAATTCTCTTCTTTCTCTTCTTGGGCTCTGGTAAGGCCACTCTCAACTAGCAAAGCCTTATTCAACACTGCTCCAAAAGTAGGTAACTCGAAAGGAACCACTTGTTGCATAATGTTCGTTCTTAGTCCACCTTCAAACTTTCGTGCTCTGTTATCCTCATCTGCTTCAAATGCTGATGCAAATTTAGACAACTTTGTAAACTCGGCTTCATATTCTGTAACCGTCTTATTCCCTTGCTCTAACTTCGAAAATTCCCTTTTTTTTTTGTAGACGAACACTCCTAGGGAAGTATTTCTCATTGAATGCCTTCTTAAACCTTTCCCATGTATAGGGGTTGGCATCATGCTCGTGTATGCGCTTCTCCATCTGCCACCAATCATTAGCTATCCCTTGTAGCATAAACGTAGCATAGGTCACCTTCTGATCATCCGTACACTCAAAAACGGGAAACAACTTCTCCATTTCTGTCAACCATTTTTCAGCCTCCAAAGGGTCTGTGGCTCCGTCAAATGCCAAGGCTATCTTCTTAAACTCGGTAATGTTACAACGTGGCCTTGGTTGTGGCCCAACACCTGGCTGTATCTGCTGTTGTTGCTCCATAAGTCTAGTCAAGTTATTCCCTATGGTGGTTTGTTGTTGCACCACCCCGGCCAACGTTTGAAGCACTTGAACCATTTCAATTGGATTGGGGATTGTAGCTTGTTCTTGGTGTCCCAACTCTTGCCCCTGATTTCCTCCGACTGCTTGAAAACCACTACCATTATTAGTCATATTCCCTCGCCGATTGCTATTACCAGTCCGTCGATTCGTTTGACCCTTGCGTGTGGTCAACCCAAACGGGATCACTAAAAATTCATAATGCCCATACCTAGTTCGGAAGGCTGTCTTAGGTATATCTTCCGCCTTAACCTTCAACTGGTGATAGCCAGAACGAAGGTCAATCTTAGAAAAGACTTGTGCTCCTTGCGTGCGAAGTCGCTCTCTAATAAGATTGATCTTGTCCACTGTTTGTTGCACAATCTCAGGCCCTAACAACTTCCTTTCACCCACATCATCCCAACAAATAGGTGATCTACACTTTCGTCCATATAAAGCCTCATATGGTGCCATCTGAATGCTCGCATGATAACTGTTATTATAAGAGAATTCCACTAAGGCCAAATGCTCATCCCAAGAACCTCCAAGATCGATAACACAAGCCCTCAACATGTCTTCCAAGGTTTGAATAGTTCTCTCTGACTGTCCATCAGTTTGAGGATGAAAGGCAGTGCTAAAATTCAAACTAGTGCCCAAAGCTGTATGCAAACTCTTCCAAAACATAGATACAAATCTGCTATCTCTATCATGGCCCAACACCTGGCTGCATCCGCTGTTGTTGCTCCATAAGTCTAGTCAAGTTATTCCCTATGGTGGTTTGTTGTTGCACCACCCCGGCCAACGTTTGAAGCACTTGAACCATTTCAATTTTATTGGGGATTGCAGCTTGTTCTTGGTGTCCCAACTCTTGCTCCTGATTTCCTCCGACTGCTTGTGAACCACTACCATTATTAGTCACATTCCCTCGTCGATTGCTATTACCAGTTCGTCGATTCGTTTGACCCTGGCGTGTGTTCCTAGCCATATTTGCCAATGTCTCCTCATGTTCCATTGCAACCTAAATGCATCAATAATAAAATCTCATCTTATTCTATTCTCAAGTCCCTATAACAAGTAAATAAAAATAATGTATCCAGTACTTTGCCTGTGTTTTCAGTTCGCTCGAGCGGGGTAATTCACGCTCGAGCAAGGACTTGTGTATCACGCTCAAGCAGGTATCGAGCGCCCATCGAGCGTGAATTTCATGCATCCAGCACTTTTATTGTAGCCTGCAGTCTGCTCGAGCGGAGTAATACACGCTCGAGCGTATTCCTTTTGTCTACATGTCCGCTCGAGCATATAAGTACACGCTCGAGCGGGAACCCTGTTTCAACAAAATTTTGAAAAGTGTTTTAAAGTGCATCTTTGCATCCTCATCCCATCCTAGGCATTCCTAAGCCATGTTTAAGACTCCATAATGAGGTTAATGGTTAAGTACACACTAAGAATAATGAAGTAAGTTACGTCTAACTCGAGCGTGTATTTCAAGCGGATAATTGTATGCGTGTTCGTGTAGGTCACGCACCTCAGGACAAGTGAAGAGCCATTTTACCATTTAGTTGGGCCGACCAATTGTTTGTGAGTAATAACTCTGTAAAGTTACGTTTAACTTTAATTATTTTCCAATGACATGAGATGATAAGTTTTGAAATGCTATGTTTTGAATGAGTGAATGATTGTCCAATCTTTCTTGAAATGTAAACGTGGTATCCTTAGCCGAGGCCCTCACCCAGAGGACACAATACTGAGGCACATGGTCATGAGGCCCTAGCCCGGGGGTTAATACCGTGGCACAGGCCCTCGCCTAGGGAAAACAATACCGTGTCACGGATATGTTACCCGGTACCGGAGGTTCCATTATGGGACTTACCATGCTTGACTAACATGATATGTTGTGCTAAGGGGAATGTACCACACATGATTTGAATATGGATATGACTGTGATTCTTTTCTAATACAAATATGATTATGTTTCCGATCTAATAAGGGACTGATTTCTGATTTCTGTATTCAATATGGTCATCATTCATTAAACCCCTTTACTCTGTTATTATTCACTGGGCTTTAGCTCACTCCTTATATTATGTATGTAGGTGAGCAAGTACGAGACCAGGCCGGGGTTGATGGCCTACACCCCAGTTTTGTCATCCAACCATTGCGCCTCCCAAGAAGGTTCTAGTTGAAGTCAATTGCCATGGTTGTTTTTGTAGTTATGTTAGTCTCAGTCTGTTCGTAAAGTCAGGATCTGGAAACTACAGTCTGTAAATATTTGTGAATATTGGTGTCCCTTGACTAGCATGCTCATGAATATAAATATATTTGACTTACTCTGCCCCATGTATGTCATCACAGCTCATTGGACTTTGTTTATTTTGTCTAGTTGCTTCCACAGCTCCTTATTACTTGCTAATCTGCTAAGAGGCCTTTGGTAATCCGAGGATTACTGGCCGGTTACGACGCTAAACCTATAGGGGCGGGTTTGGGTCGTAACAGAGATTTAGTTTTTAGGATGTTGATTGGATCCTTGGGTTTCTGTAAGTCTTGTTGGAAAAGCACTTGATCAATGTTGTTTCTAACCGGAACTCTAGTAACGTCTCGGGACTATCATTATTTAGAAATTAAATTCGTAGGTGCTTATGTGATTATATGCTTACGTGGAATGAATTACAGTTGTCTGTTGCATTAGGACACGAATGTTATAGCTTCGGCACATTTGTGAATGTGCTAATGTCCTTCGTTAGTTTTATTAGGATGTCAAGACGAGGACGTGGTGGTAGGCAAGGTAGGCCTAGGAGGCAGGAGATGCCTATACCGGATGAGATTCCAGCGCAGCAGAAGGGTGTTGGTCAGGCTAATGTGGCCGAGCCAGTGCGGCAGCAGGCCATGGGTGCTTTAGCCCACGAGATAGCAGAAGCTATGAGGGAATCCTTGGGCATTCTCAGAGCTGAGAATCCAGTTTAAGCCCAGGTTATTGATGTAGGACCTTCCTTTCTGAAGAGGGTCTTCCGATCTAATCTGGATGAGTTTCTTGGGGATCCGAAAGAGCCACTTAAGGCTGATGGGTGGTTGGAACAGATGACTAAGACATTTGAGATGATTGGCATCGAAGACGGGGCATTGAAGGTGACCTTGGGGTAGACATCCCCGAACGCCCCGGGAGGAACGAACCGCCGTTCCGTTCGATATTGGGCTCACTACAGTTCAGGACTCTCAAATTGTCATGGTTCTAAGTCTGAACCAAAGAGTCCAAATCCGGCAAATCGTTTTGAGAAAACAGATTTTTAAAAGAAGTGCCAAACATGGACTGCTTTGCCAGATACAGAGTCGCCACCTAAATATTTATTTTGGGGGAATTTAGGAAACCCTGACTCGTTGCCTAAGGCCACGTGTCCGTCATCACCAAAGTTGCCTCGGCTCGGGAACTTGGATACGATTGGGGAAAGTCACTTCGTGAGCACCCCCGCTCGCCCAATCAAAGATCGGCCTCTACTAACCATGATATATATTTTTGAAAACTTTGTGTGTCCTTAATCCGGTTATTAGCCTAGGTTACTATGTGATGCACACAGCATATAAGTATAGACTGGAGTCGCCTGAATTTGAACAAAACATTTCATGTTTGTTTGTTTGAAAATGGTTTGATGGTACTACCCGCAAGTAGGCTAAGACGTGAATTTGCCACCTCAGGTGGGCTTAGAAAAGATGGTTTTGCCACTATCTAGTGGGCTTAAAACTCACAGTCAATGATTTGTTCCAATCCAAATAACCCAACCTTCACCCACAGGCATTCAAGTAGTTATATACAATAAGCAAATAGCCTCATGGTAAGCATGCTATCATGGTAGTCACTCCAACACATGCAAGGATGCTAAAGCATAAAACTCACCGAGTACTCCAAGCCAAAACAAAAGCTAATTAGAAATCCATGTATGATCCTAATTATACAGAAATGCCTAATGCCAACACATGCAAAAATGCAACTATAGCAGGCTCGACTATTCTAAACATGGCATATGAAATGCTACAGCTAACATGTATTCAACTTGGAATTGAAAATACATGCAGTTAGTATGATACGTCGAGCCCGGTGCATGCAAAACAAATGAATGAATGCAAACATGCTATCATACTGTTATGCTAATTGGAACATGCCCTAATCTAACCATCATAAGCGGGTAAATAAAAGGGAAAAAGACGTGGGGTTGGAAGGCATACATCACACACACGACACACTTATTACAATTATGCCCTCGCTCGGAAGGTCTGAATAAATAGTACAGTCCAAATAATACAGCCCAAATATGTACAAATCCCTAATTAATTTACAAATTAACTAAGAAAAATAATAAATTGGCATGCAAGCCAGGGACTGTCTTAACTCTTCTCCAGATGATGGATGATGCATGTCCGGGGTCGTCTTTGCACGGAAATCCACTGTGTTGCCCAATTAGCCTCTGTTTTGCAATATTTTTGGAAAGCGCGCCAAGCCTGAAAGACTGCTGATTCTTGATTTGCTGCAACAGAGAGCAGGAAAGGGGCATGGCAATGTATTTCCACACATGTATGCGTGACTACTCTTCAGGGAGTGTAGTCCTCGCTCCTCGTGCCACCAATCACGCATATCGATGCATGATGGCCGATGAGTCGATTTGCATGACTCAATATGGAATGAATGCACAAATAAACACATCAAAATCTAAACTCCATCATGGATAATTCGGAGTGTCGGTGACTGGGAATTAAGACACGTTCCGTCAACTCGAAGTACGAAACGTCCCTCGTTTCCCGTGCTCGGACTAACTCCTATCCCAAGCACAATGCAATATGCATGACATGCATGAAATGCAACTAAGATACAACCTAGCATACACAATGCTATGAAATGGCATACACGATGCACAAGATAACATGGCATACACAATGCGCTAACATACAACCTAGCATACGCAATGCTATGAAATGAAATGGCATACACAATGCATGATGGACTTACACAACAGAGTGGACCTCAGCCACACTCACATAAGAGGCCATTGGATGAAAATGAGACACTCGAGATGCGTGCACACGTGCCACGTAAACGAGGACCGACCCTAAGGCACCAAATGCCACTCTAACAAGACATGGCAAGGCATGAAATATGATTGCAAACATGCAAATTTCAGAAGCGAAATATGATGCAAAACAGCCCCGAATCATGGAAACAATGGCACCCGATGCATGAAATGGTATCCGAAATGCAAAATGAGGCATACGCAATGACCTATAGCCTTATACAAAGCATGCATTATTTGATCATGAAGCATGAAAACAGATTTAAGGCAGTCCCAAAACAAGCATATTTACAGTTTTAGCAAGGTCAAATAGTGAACACGAATGGGCTAAGCTAGCATGCAAAAATGGCCCCGAAAGGAGATAATGAAGCAAGTGGCAGCTTCTGTCCCTAAAACAGAGAA